CAAATATGTTATGGCTGGAACCTTCAAATTACAGTTCAGATCACACTATTAACATACTTTAACTGAGGAAGACACAGGAATCACAGTGACCTCCGCCACCATCTGGTTTGACGTGTCAAGGTGACGGGAAGGGTCCTGACTCCTCGCTCTGAACCTGCCACTTGCCCCGTAGATTAGGGTTCCTTGACAGGCCGTCCAGTATGTCCTACGTGGTGCACTGTGTTGGATGGTGCTTTTGTCACTAGCTTGCAGATGACCCAAGCACCGAAGCTTGTCTGCTTCTGTGATGTCTGGTATAATTGCCTATTAAGACACGTTCCCTCTACCTAGCTGGCAGGTTCCATCTTGTTGCTAGCCCTGAGGCCTCCTGGGCAGCCCTACATAGCCCTGTGGCCCCATCCTGTTTAGACACCCTTCCGAGTTTTTAAAATGGCAACCATGTCTTTGTTCTTTGGTCATTTAAGCCAAGATCTTGTGAGCTCTTCTGTGGACCGGTTCAAAGTTGAGGAGGCGCAAGTGCTGGGCCAGTCATTTCCTCCAAAGGAAGGGTATTTGAAGGAAACAGAGTGAAAGCATCTAAGTTGTTTTCAACAGACATTTATAGGAAGAAGTTTAATTAACAGATAGCCATTCCCTTACCTTGATGAAATACTTTAATGACCTTTCTGGCTCCCCCCCGCCCCGATTTCTTAACTAACACATAAGCTCTGTTTTCTTGTAGACACAACATGACTGCATTTATCTGTGTCATGAGACAATTCATTATGGCCTTGATTTCGTACAGTTTCCAAACAAATTAGTGTGCGTTTTTATTAGGGGTTGTATCTCTTTAACTGACTGCCAAAGTGAAGAGAAGTTAGGAAATCATTTCAAAGAGAGGTCCACCTCCCCGTAGCCTAGCAGCTCACAAGTTGGGCAGGTTTGCCCTGCCAGTGGGATGCCTTTAGAAAGCACTAATAGCTTCCAGCTGGGTGGAAAATCCAACCCTTTGGGGGCTGACAAATCTAGCAGATTTGAATTTGAAAGCAGAGCTAATGCCTCCATTTTATTTTTTACCACTCGCCCATAAAACATTATTTTCCAACATGTCAGCCTCATTTGGTGGCCAGTGGTCTGAGATTGAAAGTGGAACCAGCCAGTAGAGAAATCTGGACATGAGCGCGCCCCCCCTTTTCAAGCGGGTGTGCCACTTGGCGGCGGGGTCTCCTCCAAGAGCAGGGGGGCCCTAATGACCATTCATCAGTGCTCGTTGGCTGGTCACCGAGTGCCTTCCCATTCAGTTTATCAAGTCTTGCACATGAAAAGTCAGAAGCCGCCTTCTTCAGCTTTGTTGCAGGCAAATGCTCCACTTGAACCCGTCTTGCCCCCTTTTTCGCGTTGTTAATGCAGCCCCGCTTAAATGAGTGCCTTTATTGGGTCAGTCAGAATATCTGAAACTATTAATTCTCTTGTCTTGAATAGCTGGTGGCAGGCCAGAGCAGATGGGGTAGGAAAGTATTTGGTTGGGTGTATTGCTTTCAATTAGGATCAATGAGGTTTCAGCTCCTTTGAATTAACTCACTTCATACCCACTGTGTGGAGTCACAGCCTGCGAGACGCAGAGAGGAAAGTTGAGAAAACCTGTAGGAAGGCTGTAAGGCGAACTCTGCCTTCGCTGGTGTAGAGAGCGGTCAGGAATTGCAGATGATTTTGATAGGCCGCTGGACCTTCCTGGTAAGTCAGGTTTTGAGCAAAGGAAAATGACGTCCTCCAGGGCTCCTCTGTTTTGGAAAGAAGTGAAAAACACCTGGGAGCAGCGGTTCTCAGCCTTCCTAACGCCGCGGCCCTTCATACGGTTCCTCATGTTGTGGTGACCCCCAACCATAACATTATTTTCGTGGCTCCTTCATCACTGTAATGTTGCTACTGTTAAGAATCGTCATGGAAATATCTGATATGCAGGATGTATTTTCATTGTTACAAATTGAACATAATTAAAGCATCGTGATTAATCACAAAACCAATATGTATATATATATGTGTTTTCCGATGGTCTTAGGCGACCCCTGTGAAAGCGTTGTTAGACCCCCCCAAGGGGTCGCGACCCACAGGTTGAGAACCGCTGCCTTGGAGGCATCCAAGACCGTAATGCCTTTCTAGAGAATGATGTCAATTTATTGTCAAAAACCAACTTATGTATTTTTGGGAGCAGCCTGGCGTTCAGGTGTTGACTAAATGTACCAGTTTGGAAAATGTACCAATTTGGGTGACTCACTTGAACGAATTGGCCTTAAAAATGCTTTGTGTTTTTAATGAAAAGACACAGCCTACTGGTATGGCTTTCCTGAGGAAGTACTTAATTGGCCAGCCACGTATCCCTTGTGATTGCTTGGAATATATCTAATTTTTAAAAATACGATTTCTAGTGGAGATGCAGGACTGTGTTTCGTACTGGAGAAAACTTTTGCAATTCAGATTCCACCCCCACCTCTGCCCCGCCTGTCCCCCATTCACGTACATAAATGCATTTGTCATGTTATTGATTGTCCGTTTTTATTATACCATTTGGACGTTAAAGCTCTTGGCTCCTATATGCTTATGTTTTGTGTTTGTTTTTTGTTTTTTTATTGAAGGGGAAGTTATTTTTGTCTAAGTGACTATACAGAACTGTGTGTGCAGGTGTCCATGTTCAAGGTGAACTGCCAAATGGGGTCGCTGCTTTTGCTCGCCTCCATGGATTAAAGAGCAAGAAGAAGAAACTGGTTCCTGGAGAAAATGCTGAACCAGTCTCCGATGCGCACACATTCAGTTAGGCCCTCTCTGCAATCAGATGTCTAGGTGAGAATCTCCGGGGATCCAGGTTTTGTTGACGTGGATCAATTTAAAGTGGCAATTACTGTAGTCAGATAACAGCTTAAAAAGCTTTTTTACACATAGGAAAGATACATAATCACACGGCATATGGAAGTTCAATTTTCTGAGCTATGGTTTAGCGGCTTGCAGTGTACCGATATTAAGACCTAGTTTTAAAACCGGATATCATCCAGTTTTCTTAAAGTGTAATGCATTTTTGTCGTACGATTTTCTATTTCGGGAGTGATTCACTGTGCATATCGATGAAAGGTTGGGTTTCCCACTGTGAAAATGTTTTCTTTCTAACATAGGTAAAAGTATTAAAAAAAAATCATTGAGTGGCTTTAAAAAAACACTCTTTTTTAAAAGTGAAGATATACAGATTGAGGATGCCGGATTCCAGAAAGGCCCTTACTGCAGGCCTTAATTGATTATCACTCTCATGCCTGGTAGAAAGCTCTCTGTCATAAGAATGTTTGTGCTTGGTGCTTAACTATCCTGAAATCCATTACACAGAACCTCATTACAAGTGACATCTAACTAAGATGAACAAAAAGATTGGCCCCATAAATAGGGTGCAGTATACTACTCGTGACAGAACGCAGTCATCATTATGAATTATAGTCTTTTCACAGGTTGTCCCTGACAGTGATGGATTTTGAGGGGTTCACTAGATGCAGCAGCGCTTCCAGGGTGCAGTATTTGGGGGGCTGTAGCAGTTCTTAGGGATTGACGCCGTTTACTAAAGATGACTCATTTTCAGGGCTTGCAGGGTGTGCTCGCGTAGGCGGGTATGCTCTGAAACAGGTTGTATGCACTCTTGCCGAGAAGTGTAGGCATGGCGAGTAGGTAGAAGTCGGAGTCACTGCCTGTGTTTTCAGATGGGCTTTTATGGTTTCTTTGAGGCCCCAAGGAGGTGGGGTGGGGGGTGGAAATCTAGCTGACAAAGCCTAAAAGCCTGTGGAAAGGGTAGAATAAGCAGGGGAAGGCGGTGAAGGGATGGCAAGAGTTAAAGGGGATGATCCCGTCTGTCTGCCATGTTCCTTGAACTTGCAGGTTTGTCAGAGGCTCCTGGGCAGAGTTGTTTGTGTGTTTAGAGTGGGTGGAACAGACATTGGGAAGGTAAACCGGCAGGAGGCATCTCTCTGTCTCCTCACCTGCCTGCCCCGTCGTTAAAACAAATACAAACTGGGAACAGATTGTGCCAGGGCAGAAGTGAGGGAGGGTTCCAGAGGAGAACAGTGTTTTCCTCCTGCCTGGCATTTTTTTGTGCGTTTAGGGAAGAAAAGCACGCAAGGCAGACAGGCGTATGTTTTTCCTGTGAGGCAGGGATGTTTTACAAAGGACTAAAGAGGGACTGCTGAGAGGAAAATAGCCAGCTTTAGATAAAGCGCTATAACAAAGCCTTGTCGTTTTATATATCATGGTGTCCATTAGGGCTTAATGGGGAAGAGTCCACTGAACTGGCTGGGTATGTGTCATTCATGGGAAGGAGCAGCATTGAAGGGTGAGCAATAATAATAATAAATAATAATAATAATAATAAACCAGAAGGACAGGATTGTTCAGCTTTTGAAAAGCGCCCCCTCCCTTTTTTTTGCTGTGAAGGTTTTGTTTTCATTTCCCAGGGATCTCTCTCCGCAGCATACAGGAGAGCGAGCTGACAGTGTTTGGAGCGGCTCAGCGCAGGGACCACAGGGGGTTAAAAGCACGCGAGTGAAATAGAAGTGGCCTCTTCTGCTTCGAGAGAGCGCCCTGTTTCACACGCACCCCCAAGAAGCTGACAGAAGGAAGGGTTCTGATACTGAGTCCGTAGGATGAGCTGGCACCCTAGGCCAAGTCTTATAAATACGTTTTTGCCCTGCTTTGGATTTTCAGTTGCATAAACAAACTTTGAAGTTTGTGCCTGTGATCTTTGTGTTTGTTTTTTTCCAACGTAGTTCACCATGATGAGAAGGTGAAGAGAAGTCATTTATTGGGGGGCCCAAGTCTCCTTGTCATTCTTTTGGCAAAAGAAGGGTTAACTGGTAACTGGCTGGGGGTGGCGGCAAATGAATTATTCAGCATTTAGCTTATCATTCTGCTTTTTTTTTTACTGTCTGTTCTTTGGAGCTCTGGAACTTCTGAGAGAGAGAGAGAGAGAGAGAGAGAGAGAGAGGCAGGCCACGGTTGCGGTCCTTTGCACACACATCCCTGTCATTGTTCTGCCTGGAGAGACAGGGCTGGGTTCAAGGCCACATGTGCTCCTGTCATCATCCACATTTCTGCTTCAAGTGCAACCCGGAGTGTCAGCTCTCCATCTGTCTCTGGCTGGCAGGCGCACGCGCCCAGCACCCTGCCTGGGGCCATGCCGCCCCAGCCCCTTCCGAGGGCCGTCCTCTCCCCGCCCGCGCTCATTCCAGAACACGAGGCCTGAGCTCCGCTCGCGCAGCGGGCAGCAGGCAGCCGCCTCCTGTGGACGCCGCCTTCAGGGATGCCGGGTGAGTGAGCCCGCACCTCCTCCCTCTGGTTGGAACGTGGAGGACGCTTACTTGTTAGGAGGCAGGGAAGAGGCCGCCTGCCCCGTGGGTGCTGTGCCTTCTGTGGGGCAGAGGCTGGGGGTGGCAGAGGTGATAGGTGGAAGGGAAGGTGAGAGAGAGAGAGAGAGAGAGAGAGAGAGCGCGAGCCATCAAGATCTAGATACCCGGGTAAAAGGTGTGGGAGTCCTTCCTTTTAAAAAACCCGGGAGGTGTGTTTGGAAAGCTGAGCCATGTATGTGTTGCCAAAGCCATTCGCTGGAGGGATGGAGCTCCACTTAGAAGTATTGTCTCTGTTCTGGATTTCGTGCCTGTCATCGGTGCCTGGGAGCCTAGACACTTCCTCTGTGAGGAGAGTTGTCAGATGATGGCGGAACCCTGGGGTGAGGTCTGTTCTGGTCTTATTTTTTTTTTTTAAAGCTGTTTGTGTTAGGGAAAGTAAAGAATGCTTTGGAACTGCAAATCATTCCAGTCTCAGCCCTCGATCACCGTCCTCGGATGTCGTAGGCAAATCGTCGACATCATTTAATTAAAAAGAAAAAGTCTGCCGAATTCCTGACGCTGCCGCGGGTCTGGAAATTCAGTGTACGTCCATTTCCTCGGGAAAATATTATCTTTGGAGCCGCGGCGTGTTCCTGTCTGTGGTTGCTGCCAGCGAGGGCTCTGCTGATGGGGAAGGGAGCCCGGGAGGAGCAGGCTGCTGGGGGAGGCTGGTTCTCTGCTCGTCTCCAGGACGGTGCCTGCTGGGAGCCGTCCCCCTGCGGTCAGAAGGGACAGGGAGGGCAGAGAGACCCCAGCTGGCACACCGTGCCCACGGCCTGGCTGGGACAGGCGGCAGAGGCTGTGCCTGGCCCCAGCGCGCGGACACCTCGCAGATGGTGTTTTGAAACCTTATCCGCGGTTCTCCGCAGCCACAGTTGTGTGTAGGTATTGCCAGTTGTTTGAAGAATGCTTCCCCCTTTAGGATGTGTCTTGTGACCCTCGTCGCTATTAATACACGTGCAGACAGGAGGCCTTGGGGACAGAATGGCAGTTTCTCATTAGTTCAGTGGATGAGGAGTGGATGTAGCTGGGATAGGAGGGAAGTCAGTTTACCCAAAGAGACAATGACCAAGGTATGTCAAGGGCCATTGGAACTTCGGAAGCTCTCCTCTTTATTTATAATCAGTGTGAAAAAGTGCTTGTGTGTGTGTGTGTGTGTGTGTGTGTGTGTTTCGCCAGGATATCGGAACACTTTCGTTTGATTTTGATGTCATCATTTGAATCTTCCTTGTTTTTATGCTCTTCATACGTTGTGTGAAGTAATCTGACTTATCAGTATTTTGAAGAACCTGTATTTTTTTTTTTTTTTTTGCTAAAACAAACCCCATAATAAACCCAAGACATTTGTGAATGATAATAGGGGGAAGGGATTATTTGGTTTTAAAGTATCTTTATTTAAAATGCATTGAACTATTTTTAAAGTTTTGGAATCATGGATAAGTTTTGTTTTACTGTTGAGTTGTTGATATCTGTCTGGTTCTGAAGCCTGAGGGATGGGCAGTCTCTCTCTCTCTCTCTCTCTCTCTCTCTTTCTCTCCCCCTCTCTCTCATCAACTGTTAGAAAACCTTTTACTTGGATGCAGAGAAAATATTAACAGCTGTGACTGTGAGCATGTGCCAGAGTGAAGATACTTGGCTATTCTTGACACCCGTTTGCACTTTTTAAACTTTACTATTGGATGGACTATGTTTTTAGCATATTTTAGGCCATACATATGTAGTTATATTAATGGATAATTTTAACCACCTGGGGCACATTTTATATTTTTAAATAAGACATTATAGGTAGAAGATTAAAAGGATGTGTTTCGGGTAATCTGGTGTTGACACTGTTTCTAACATTTGACTATATATCCAACGCCACTTATTATTATTTACTGGTAGGTCATGTGTCAGAACTGGTTCCTGGTTGTATCAAACTTGAATTAACAATTCTCAGATGTCAGACCTTTTCCACAAAAATGGGAATGCCTGGAAACAGATACGCACAGGCTGAATTTGTTCAAAGACATACCAATCTGTGGGGGTGGGTAGATACAAAAGTCTTCAGTTTAGGGGTTTCTAGCCTTAGTTTCGTTTAGAACACATGCTTTAGCGGTTGGTAGCATATTGTTACAAAAAGGGACTATGAAAAGTCAAAAGGGGCCAGGCATGCTTTAAAGAAATCAATTAAATTATGTTTATGGTTTAATTCAGTATAAGGAGATATCATTACACTGCCTGTCACTTTGTAATAGCTAGACCCTGAGTTTAAGAAAAGAAAAACGGAAAATGTTTTCTTATGAGAAGGCTGTGAGACCTTGGGCATTATACTGTTTCAAGAGATGACTCCAAGCTTTCTGAAACGTTTATATTTTTAATCAATCTTCGTATAATGTTATCAAAGAACATATGTTGACCTACAAAAAGCTTTCCGGACTGTTTCCTTAAAAGGACAATAACTGAGCGCAGTCCGTGTAGCTCAGAAAGAGTGCTGTTCTTTCAGAAGATGGCTAATATGAGGTCAGACCACCCTTCTCCATGGCCCTGCTCTCCAGATGTGCATGGAACTTTTTTTTTTTAAGTTCAAGTTTCAAAAAAAAGAAAAAAAGAAAAGAAAAAGGTTTGTTTTCAAAATCTGGTTTTACTTAAGACATCTCCATTCTGGAGTGCATTTCATAAATTGCCCACATATTTTTCTTAGCAGAGAACTTAACTGGCTGTAATTTTTAACACATGGCCACATCATGTGATATTTTCAAAACACTTACACATAGCTTTACGAAGGTCCCTGCAGCCATGATCCATCCTCGCACAGCCGGCCTGAGTTTTAACAGCGTATCTGCATTTTCCATTTAGTAGAGCTATATATTATTAGCTTACATTTTTAGGTAGTAAAACAGTGCATTGCTGATTGTAAAACATGGACTTTATTATCTGCTGAAAATTGATTTGGCATTTATGGCCACTGTGTACTAGACTGTTTTTCTGTTTTTAACATCAGTGCTTGCAAGCGATGATTTGTGTAAAAAGCAGCAGTGAAATTGCCATGGATCGACAACTGTGAGTGTCCCTGGTAACTGAACATTTGGATAATGCACCTGGTTATTTTTTCCCCCCTTAAATAGAGGCATCTAAATGCTCTTATACAAGAACAAAAAACACAGAAGTTCATTCACTGTCACTTAGCTTTACCCTGCAAGTTGACTTGCCATTGTGTTGGGCTAATTCTTCAAACAAGCCTCCTGCTAGCTATTAAAAAACAACAACTATATGCACTGCAAATATCCAATTACAAATGTAGATTGTATTGAACATTACTTCTTTGTAGCAGACATTTAGATTTTCCAGATTTTCTTCAATATCTGGCACCCTATCCCTTTTTCTTTTAAAATGATTTCCAGTAAATAATTTGGAGTATTTGGTGTTTTAGTTCTTTATTTTAAGTAATACTTGGGAACTTTCACAAGGCACCTTCCTGTGTAGTTAATGATCTATTGGAAAAAAAAAAAAAAAGGTAAGTGTTTAATCTTTTGGGGAGGGTGATAATTTGTGAAGTTTTTGTCAGACAACTAGTTAATTTGTATTTCTTACCGTAAACATTCGCTTAATGGGCATTATATAGTGTAGAAATGTTTATTAATCATCTCACCACCAGTATTTGCAAAGGAGATGCTGTGATTATAACATTCTGAACCGCCTCCTGAACCGTTAGAGGAACCAACACGTGTAGAGCTGGAAGGTTTATCTTGCAAGTGCCTTCGCTTTACAGCTGTTGAGACAGAAGCTCCTGGAGGTGAAGGGACTTGGTGAGGTGGTTTATTAAAGTGAGAGGTTCCTCCCAGTTCACCCCCTTCACCAGGCCTCTTCTGAACGTCAGACGCAGATGTTACCCTATTAGCGTCAGTCTTACCTTGTGGTCGCTTATCGTGGGCCCTGGATTGCTTGCACCATATGCTTTCTCACCTCCTCCTCCAGGCCCACAGAGCCACATAGGAGAAAATCCGGTTAACAGTAATCACTTGGCCTGGGGCAAAGGTGTGCCATCCAATTCATCTTAGAATTGTTTGGAAACGAGAAAGCCTCTGTAGTTAATCGCCGGCCTGCGTGTTAAGCAGATCAAATAATGCAAAGGTCTGACAACTGGAAGGTTACTGTAGTGAGGAAATTCAGGTACCGAAGTAGAGATTTGTAGGATGCCGAGAAATGTGCCAGGTGCAAGGTTAACTATGACTCAGTCCCTCCATGAATGTGACATAATAGTTTTTAGTTTGTCTTTCTTTTTTTTAAAATATATTTTTATTGATTTCAGAGAGGCAGGGAGAGGGAGAGAGAGAGAGAATCATCAATGATGAGGGAGAATCATTGATCAGTTGCATCCTGCATGCCCCCTACTGGGAATGGAGCTTGCAACCCTGGGCATGTGCCTTTGACCAGAATCTAACCCAGAACCCGTCAGTCTGCAGGTTTGATGCTCTATCCACTGAGCCCAGCCAACTAGGGCTAGTTTGTTTTTCTGATACTGAGGATGGGACCTTCATAAAATTTTATTCTGTGTGACAAATTTTAATTGGTGTGACAGCAGGCATAGCCTTTCTCAAAAGAAATGTGTACAGTGCAGTTCTTTGGTGAAATAAGTCGTTGACTGAAAGGACTCTTAACTTGAGTACAATGAGATTTTACACCTGACCAAGAAGCAGATCTATCTGGCCGGCTTCCTCAAACAGCTGTTTGCATTAATTAATATTAATGTAAATGTACTTTCTGAGAATGTCGAGCCTAATTATGTTTTTCAACACGTCGAGTTCCAATCAAAGGAACCAGGAGATCCTCTTAATCTCAAAGGGAATATATACCTGTCATCTCTGAACAGAATAAATCTCTGAAAGTATAGTAAAAGCAGCCTTTTACTGAAAGCCTGGATGGGCCACGCCCCAGGCTAG